AAACAAAAACACCCGCCTGAACCTGTCACGGATAAGAAAGTGCCAGCCTTCGGCCCGGATGAGTCTCAGAGACGCCGTGCGGGAGCGAGCCTCACACAGGGGGCCAGCGTTGCGCAATCCCGCCCGCCTGAGCTGCGAACCCGCAGGGCGGGAAGGGGCAGAGTGCCGGTTGCGGGCGGGCGGGGCCGTCTGGGGAGGGGCTGCGGGTTCTCCATCGTGGGGGGAGTGTGGGTTACACCCGTGTGCCTTTGTGGGAGCTCATCAGGCGCTCGCCTGCGGGTGGGTCCCCTGCGGTCTGGGGATGTCACGTCCACAGCAGTGGAAACTAACATTGAACCAGAAGCAGTGTCGCGGGTGAAGGGCACTAATACCTGTACCTGCCTTTAAAATGCATCAAAAGTAAAACAGGCAGCCCTGGCCGGTGTGGCTCAGTGGGTAGGGCCTTGGCCCCGAGCACTTAAGGGTCAAGGGTTCGATTCCCCCCCCAGGTGGGAGCACATGGGGGAGGCAGCCAGTGGATGTTTCTCTCTCTCTCTCGCCCCTTCCCCGCCTCCCTTCCACTCTGAGAGTCAATGGATAAAATATCCTCCGGTGAAGATTAACAAAACCACCAAAAAAAGGAAGGCAGGTAGATTATGTGATCAAGCGAACACAGCGACGTGCTAACGGAGGCATGTTCGCGGTCCGGGGCTTTCCGCTTTTCCCTGCGTCTGCGAATCTTCGTCGTCAAACTGGAGGAAGGAGAGCTAAGCGCTGCCCAGGTCCCGCTGCTTCAGGTCCTCGGGGTAAAGCAAGTCCCAGCGTTTGGGAAGGAGCTGGACTCNGGCGTTCGGGAAGGAGCTGGACTCGCACGTCTTTCAGCCGTCAGACGCGCAGAAGTAAAGTCATAGTAAACTTTTCTTTGAGTAGACTGTGTAAACACCTAATCCTAAGTGCGCGTTTTAGGGACATTTAAAGTACAGCGCGTTCCCCTCTCTCTCTCGTGAAGATGCTCACGGTACCTCCGCTGACGCCCCGCCTTTGAGGAAGCCCGTCTGCGGATCCAAACACTCCCCACTCGGACGGCCCCGTGGGGCAGGTGCGAGGCCCCCGCATCGGCCCGATCACCCTGCGCACCTCGGTAGCTAACTTGAACGAGAGAAAGTAGACGCTTTCGTAGGCGGCCCGCCTTCAGAACAGCCCTGGAGGCCAGCACCCTTTCCGCGCGTCTGCGTTGGAGGGAAGCGCGGTGCAGAGTGTGGCCGGGTCACTCGGGGACACATAAGGAGCACTCGGGGACACGTAAGGAGCACTCGGGGACACGTAAGGAGCACTTGGGGACACATAAGGAGCAAGCGGCCGAACAGAAACGTTCTCTTGGGTGAGTTCAAAAGCTCCCTGGCCCTTGGCAGTTTTGTCTTAAATCTGCCGGCGGGTTTGTGATTTTTTTATTTTTTAATAAGTCGACTGATGCCCCGGTCGCACGTTTACCTTTTCTCACGGCTTTATTTCGTCACGTGAGACGTTTGGTGTGAAAGACGGAAGCAAGGGTGCGCTCTGTTGGGTCCGGAAGCCGAGGCCGGTCGTTCGGGTCGTGCCCCTGGTCTCGAGTGTGGCGCTGCTGTGTCCTCGGGGCACGTGGCGGGAGGAGGCCTCGCGATGGCTTCTTCCGGTGCTGCTGCCACCAAGCCTGGAATCGGGGTCGCGGGGACTTGCCTCACACCGAGCCGAACAAGTATCAGCGGCTTTCTCCTTCCCAAGGACAGACGTGCTGGACAGCTGGGCAGTTAGGGTGTCTTGTAGGGGTGTTTGCCACTATTAAAAAATAAATAATGGTCACCGTTTTGCATGAAGCTTTTTTAATATTTGGGTCTGTTTCCTCAAATGCTTTTGGTGGTGACGTGGAACTTAAGAGGTTTATCTGCACAAGCTGTGCACCGGGTTCCCAGAGTGTTTGATGAATTCACGCCCACATCAGCAGCGGGTAACGTTGCAGTTATCTGCCAAATATCGATCTTCTTTCTGGTTATCAGACTGACTCACACTAGTTGTAAACCGTGAAGACTCGTGATGGACATTCATCCAATAGACGCTTTAGGGGCTCGCTTATCACCTTTCGAATGAACGGGTGAATGAATGGATGAAAGCAAAGTACGGTCTTCTTGAAATTGGTTTTTTCTATAATAAAACAGGCTAAACGTAAATGGCATGTTTTCCTTTCTTACTGGACAGGCAACTTGCATTGATTTAATAATAAACATTATTTGGTTCAGCGGAGAGAAACGTGCTGGCCGATATCCTTGGTCATTTAAGATGAAAGCAGCTATTATGTTCCTTCCCCCGTGTGCCGCGGAAACTCCCCTCACATGTGCTCCAGCCTTCTGAGTCCCGGCCGACACCGTTCACCTGGCTGGCATGGGGCACAGCCGATACCTGGGGCCGCCGAGACCCTGGCCAATCAGTTAGGCTGAAGTTTAGAGGGCGCAGTCTGTGGGCCAGGAAAGCAGATCTGTTTCAAGGTGTGCCAGCTGAGAGGTCACACGTCACCCCCACAACCCTGCACCTGCATCGGTGCCGCGTCTTTATCAAGGGCCTGAGAGTTGGGAAATCAGCCTGGCCCTGTCTGCGCGCCTTGCAGCCAACTGTGTACAACTGTCCCAGCCTGAGGCTGAAATCCAAGCAGCCCAGGCAACGCTGGGTCCGGGCAATGCTGGGTCCGGGCAGTGCTGGGTCCGGGCAATGCTGGGTCCGGGCAGTGCTGGGTCCGGGCAGTGCTGGGTCCGGGCAGTGCTGGGTCCGGGCAGTGCTGGGTCCGGGCAGTGCTGGGTCCGGGCAGTGCTGGGTCCGGGCAGTGCTGGGTCCGGGCAGTGCTGGGTCCGGGCAGTGCTGGGTCCGGGCAGTGCTGGGTCCGGGCAGTGCTGGGTCCGGGCAGTGCTGGGTCCGGGCAGTGCTGGGTCCGGGCAGTGCTGGGTCCGGGCAGTGCTGGGTCCGGGCAGTGCTGGGTCCGGGCAGTGCTGGGTCCGGGCAGTGCTGGGTCCGGGCAATGGTGGGTCCGGGCAATGCTGGGTCCCGGGCAATATGTTGGGTCAACCCGTGTTGTGGTTGGAAGAATTACAGTTGTTCTGTCCCCCCCGAGCAGTCGACGGGGGCTCCATNAATTACAGTTGTTCTGTCCCCCCTGAGCAGTCGACGGGGGCTCCATCTCGTCCACTGTTCCCACGCGAGCGCTCCCCCCACCACCGAATTTGAATGAGCCCCAAAAGAGGAGCAGAGGGAAATCCCCACGGAATTGAAGAGGAGGGGGAGGTTGTTCACCTCTAACGCTGGCGTGAGGGCTCCGGGCCGGCTGTGCGGTGCCTGAGCGTGTGCTCTCTGCTGGCGCAAAGGCAGACAGGACGGTCAGGCGACGCTCGCCAGGCGGTTCCCACGAGGAAGGAACGAGGAAGCCCATGAAAGAGCCACGAACGTTTAAATTTAGGACGAGCTCCTGGAGAAAGTTCCTGCCTGTTGACTTTGGCCTTGACTCTGCTCAACCACCTGGTTGCTGATTGTACACCGGCCTCCTCGGGCTGGGAGACCCGGGCTGGTCCCGGATCCCTCCTCCAAGGCCAGGGGCCGTGTTTCTTCACTCTCAGGGTAATTTCGGGTCAGAGTAGAGCCCCTTAACTAACAAGCTCCCTGCTTCAGACGCCCAGGCCTCTTTGTGTTTTCCCGCTTGCCTAAACATGTCTCTTAAAGAGCAAGGTTTGTAAATACGACGTTACTGTAATCTCTCCTTTGCTTTGAAATGCAGACCGCCAAGTGTGTTCCCAGCGCCCAGCTCTGTCCCCGAACGGTCAGTGTTTTCTTGCGTTAAGTTTGGTACCTCCCAGCGGTCGGGAGTCGATATGCCGAGGCTGTACCAGCCGGGGAGCCCGCCTGTGCCCTGTAAGGGCACTGGGATCCGTGGGGAGCGGAGGCAAGCAGAGGGCTGCCGGCTTCTCAGGAGCGGAGTCTNGGCGGGATCCGTGGGGAGCGGAGGCAAGCAGAGGGCTGCCGGCTTCTCAGGAGCGGAGTCTGGTGTTTTAAAGGGATGTCTTCGCTTTGTTATTTACTAGATTTTATTTTTAATCCGCACCTGAGGATGTGTTTTTATTTAAATGTTTGTTGTTGCCCTGGCCGGTGTGGCTCAGTTGGTTGGGCGTTGTCCCGTGCCCTGTAAGGCTGCCAGTTCGATACCCGGTCAGAGCACAGGCCCGGGTTGCAGGCTCCGTCCTTGCTGGGGGTCGTGCAGGAGGCAGCCGATCAATGTTTCACTATCACATCAATGTTTCTCTCTGTAAAAGTAAATAAATAAAATCAATTAAGAAAACTTTAAATTTTTTTTATTGTTGACACTACTGCAGATGTCCCCCGTTTCCCTCCAGTTGCCCACCTCCACTCAGTCCCTTTACTAAATAGACCTTTGGTTTATTTCTGAGGCGTTCGTTTAGAAGAATATTTTTAATCTCCAGCCATTTGGGTTTTAATTTACATCGACTCGCCATTGACTTTAAGCTGCAGCCTAAATGCTGTGGTCAGAAAATATTGCCCAGTGTATATTATGTTTGTAAATATCCTTTGGACACATATAAGGTGGCATGCTCTCTTTTTGCAAAGTAAAAAGTTCATTCTATAGTTGTTAACTCAACGTTGTAATTATATCATTTATATACTTTATGATATGTTTGGGTTTTGTTTGTTTTTTTGCTTAGTGACGCTCTTACAGACTATTTCATCTTAAAGGCTTTTATAGAATTTCATCTGTGTTCCCTTGAATCTTTAACATGTTTGAGCAAGTCTGTTCTCTGCAGGAATGAGCTTTTCCGTATTGTGACCGGCACCTTATAAAACTTAAACATGTTTTGTCACATGTGCCTTGGTCAGAATGAATATTGTAAGTCGCCAAAGCACCGGAGTTAGTTGACGTTTGTAATTATGGTTTTATTTTGGTTTTGCTGCCTTACTGGGCATTTCACAGGACCTCTTTTTTTTCTCTCTAGTGTGCCAGGGCACCAACAACAAGCTCACCCAGCTGGGCACTTTCGATGACCACTTCCTGAGCCTCCAGAGGATGCTGAACAACTGCGAGGTGGTCCTTGGGAATTTGGAAATTACCTACATGCAGAAGGACTATGACCTTTCCTTCTTAAAGGTTAGTCTGTGAATTTGATCGCCCAGCCCAAATATAATAGAAGTAAACAGAGGTAAATAAAGGCCTTGGCAGAATTTACCTGGACGTGTATTGGCTTCTGCTACATCAGTTACAAGTCCTAGGGAACTTCGGGTGCAGGTTTTAGGAGAAGGCCACTTTACCGGCTAGTGTCAGGTTATAAAAGGATGTCCAGGAGAGGCAGGCCAGGCTGGCATTCCACTGGCTCACGGGCACTGGCAGGAATCCTGTACCCATAGCTTCAGCCATGGTATCCTGGTAACTGGCTCTTAATTTTTTAAAAAGCTTTGCTTTGTAGCATCTGCCCATTTCCTTAGTGTAAAGACTCCCGCCATGTTTGATTTCCAGCTACCAAGAGTTTAACAGCCATTTCACAAATGCCCCACACATTTCTCAGTAGGCTCTAGAGAGCTGGTAGTTGAACTTTTTGGATTTCATTGGCCTCCTTCTGGGCTAATTTTTTTTTTTTTTTTTTTAATGAAAAAGCAAGACAGATACAAAATAAATTAATGAAACATTCTCATTTTCACCTGAGTGTGTTGAGCACCAAGTAAAGCAAGAGTCACAGTGTTGCTAAATAGTCCCATTGCCCTTTGTTCCCGCCTGCGGGCTCAGGAGGCACCATGCGGGAAAGGCTGTGACTCCTGTCACCTTCCACACCCTCAGTGTGGTCACCTGCATGGGCATAGTTCAGTGAGGTGTCCTGGCCTCTCTGGACCCGTTTAGACCTCGCATTCTTGAGTTCCTCGAAGGAAAACGCCATCTTCATGTTTTATCTCCCTAGACCATCCAGGAGGTTGCCGGCTATGTCCTCATTGCCCTCAACGTGGTGGAGAAGATTCCTCTGGAAAACCTGCAGATCATCCGGGGGAACGTGCTCTTTGAGAACACCCACGCCTTGTCAGTCCTGTCCAACTATGGCCCCAACAAAACCGGCCTGAGGGAGCTGCCCATGAGGAACCTGCAGGGTGAGGGGCGCGGCCCGGGAGGCCGCACCTGCAGAGAGAGACTCGGTTGGGACCCAGGCAGCCTGTCACTGTCTTAATTCCACTCAGAGAAGACTTTTACTTGTCAGGCACAAATGTGTCACGTGTCACGAGTGCGAGATGCAGCAGGTGGAAGTTACTGAGAAGGATGGTAAACAGTGAGACGGGAAGGGAAGCCAGGTTACCCCATGGTCACGAAAAACATACGGAGAGTTAGTAAGAAATGGTAAAGGCGCCCTGGCCGGGTGGCTCAGTGGGTTGAGTGGTGGCACGTACACCAAGGGGTCGCTGGTTCGATTCCCAGTCAGGGCACGTGCCCAAGTTGCAGGCTCGATCCCCAGTAGGGGGCGTGCGGGAGGCGGCCGATCGAGGATTCTCTCTCATCAGCGTTTCTCTCTCTCTCCCTCTCCCTTCCTCTCTCCAAAAGCCATAAGGACATTTTTTTAAAAAAGAGAAATGATAAAGGCTCTGGGAAAGAGAGAGTATGACCAGACCTTTTGTACCTAGGGTGTGAATAAACTGCCGGTCTTATCACCTGGGCCTCAGGTATAGGGACATGCGCTAAAAGTCAGCCCCGATTTGAGACAGTTTTTAGGGTCATGTCATTAGAAACTAGCCACGTTTAAATCAGGATAAGGAATGAAGGTGTCCCAGGGGAAGGTTGAATTCTTGTGACTGGGACACGAGGGAGGCTCCTGTGACAGGAAACAGGAAGGGTTCAGGAGAGATGGGAAGATGGTTTTTTTAAAAATTAAAGGTAACGACCGTGCCCTCGCTCTGCGGCAGGCACGGCGCCAGGCGTGTTAAACCCATAACCTCATTGAACGCCACGCCCTTCCCGGAGCCCCGGCTCCATCACTCAGCAGCCAGGCCCCTGCGGCGGGCTCCCGCCCTGCCTCAGTTTCCTCCCCGGCAGGAATGCGGCTCACGATGGAGGCCCACATCCCGGGTCCTGTGCGGAGTCTCCTTGGCTCCCCGGCATCTGTCTGGCGGGATGCGGCAGGTAAAGAGGCGCTTGGTCGAGACGGCGCAGCACTCACCGGGCTCCCCGCTCTCCCGCACAGAGATCCTGCAGGGCGCGGTGCGCTTCAACAACAACCCGGCGCTCTGCAACGTGGACACCGTCCAGTGGCGCGACATCGTCGACAGCAGTTTCCTGAGCAACATGTCGCTGGACTTTCAGAACACGTACGGCAACTGTGAGTGTCCCACCAACGCCTGCCTGCAGGGCGGCGGGGGCTGGGTGGGGGAGAGGAGGTCCCGGTAACGCAAAGTCTCGTTCCCCGAAAACGGAGGCGGTCAGAGGGCCTGCCGGGAGAGGAGACCCGTGTGGGACAGACTAGAATTATAGGCCGGCCGTGGAGTCATTGGTTGGCAAATATTACCAGGAAGATGCCTCTGAGCATTTTTATCTTAAGTATTTTTCTTTTATAAACCCAGCCTGTGCTTATAATAGAAATTGGGAAAATACGGTAAAGTAGGGATAAAAAGTAAAAGCAATGTGATAGCTCCATACAGACGATCGCTTTTAACATTTCTGTGTTAGTTTGGCCCTTCATTCTCTGTTTCTTTCTCTCTGGGCTTCTCTGCCTCTGTCTGTCTGTCCCCGTCTCTCTGTCTGCAGAGGGTATAGCCCTGTCCCCTCGGGCCCGGCCTCGCCCTCTCTCATGATTCTGAGCAGCGCCAGCGTGCCCGTCACCGGGGGGCAGTTGTGAAAACTCTCAGTCACATTAATGGGGTCCTGGCTTAACAGTCACTTGTATCATCAGCTCTCCCGTCTGAAATCTGAACTATTCCAGAGACAAAACTCCTCCTGACTGTGGGAGACTGCGGGACACACATAACCCCTCGGGTGGTTGTGTCTTTGCAGGGCTGACCTCTTTCTACCAGACTTGGAGGTCAGCCTGTTCTCTCGGCCGACAGAACTGTGGTCTTCAGATTTCTCAACACTGATCAAGACGAAACGCAGCTAGTGAGATCCGACACCTCTGTAGCTGTGATTTGCAGTTGACCCTCGCTTAAGAAAACTGCAGAAATTGATCAGTTGGAAATGTTTCCAGGCAGTGGCTTGCAAACGAATAGCTGAAGTTTTAGATAGTCGACAAAGCGACACACACCGTGGACATGAGGCCCTTGTGCAGGACTCGGTGCCTCTCCCTCTGGCTCAGAGTCCAGGAGCTTTTACTTAGAGACCCTGACTCCCCAGGGCGACTGACCCACCGGTGACTCAGGACAGGGCCCAGCGAGGCTGCAGTGGGTGCCGGCCCACCCACCGGGGTGGACACTCTCAACATGACTGTGGGAGCTGCTGGGAAGTTGTCCGAGTCTAAGCAGATTTGAAATCAGGACCTTTGGGTTCATTGAAGTCTCAGTTTTCGAGGCCTGAGAAGTCAGTAACTCCTCTGCCTCATTTCCAAGGCTGAGAAGCAGTGTGTGGTTCAGGTTTTTTTATTTTCTATGAGAGTCTTCTAAGTCATCTGACAACAGACCAGATGAACCAACCAACCGAGAATGAGACATTTCAAGGCCAGTCCTTGTTTCTAGACTGTTCCTTTGCTCCCGGCCTCGGGAAGCCGGTCATTGGTTTCTTCTCATTTGTCCCTTTGCTGAGGCATGAATGTAACTAGTGCTTTTCTACCTTAGGCCAGAAGTGCGACCCAAGCTGTCCCAACGGGAGCTGCTGGGGTTCGGGAAAGGAGAACTGTCAGCAACGTGAGTCAATGTGCAGATTCCAGATCAGTGCCCAGCCACCCTTCCCCTGACACTTGTGTGAAGGTCCCGAAAGTCACTCTTGACCGTAAGGCCAGACATGAGCCACCCTATGAACACAGTCCTGCCCACCTCCCACTGGCAGGTGCTCAGGTGTGGGCTGTTTTGGGCACCAGTGGAGGTCAGCCTCCGGATGCCAGTGACCCCTCGGCACAGTGTGTTCGGCAGGTTTTCCTGGGAACCAGAGGCTTGTCTGCCCACCCTTCCCCCTCCCCACCTACATAGAAGTACAAGCCACTCCTCTCAGGAGGGTTTTTCTGTGGGATTCGAGTGTAGGAGCAGGATGGGCCCAGGAATCTGGGAGACGTGTCACTCAGCGGCCCGGCTGTCCCGAATTGGCATCTGACCATGCCACTGCTTCCTGGCTGGCGTTTTGGCACTTGTATGTGCTTCCTTACCACCCAAAAGCTCAATTCTAACTATATCGAATGGCTTAGAGGTCTAGAAGTCTAGACTTTGTCTGGTCAGTTCTCCTACGTGATGAAAAACCGACAGGAAAAAACAGGCACCGTGAAGAAAAGTCGTGACTGGATCTAATGGGGCAGGAGGGGAATGTCTGGGGACCTGAACCCGCCGTGGACTCACTGAGCCCCTCCCCCGTTCACTTTCCCACCCTCTCTCATGAGTGCTCTGTGCGGTCCCTGGGCCATGACCTCCCCCTACCTCCCCCCAACCCCCGTCTCTCAGCTCACGAGTGACCTTTGCTCCTTTCCAGTGACCAAAATCATCTGTGCCCAGCAGTGTTCCGGGCGCTGCCGGGGCAGGTCCCCCAGCGACTGCTGCCACAACCAGTGCGCAGCGGGCTGCACCGGGCCCCGCGAGAGCGACTGCCTGGTAAGACCCGCTTCCCGAAGGGCCAGGCACCGCCCCCCGGCCCTGCCCCCCAGCCTGGCCCCTGTGGGTGGTTCCCTGTGGCTGAGGTGTATGGACTAACGTCTGTGCCGTCAGACAAGGATGCTGCCCTTCGCTGGGAAACAAAGCACCTGCTATAGTCCTGCTTCCCCGCTCACTCTGTGACCTTGGGCAGATGCTATGACCTCTTTGTGCTTCGGTTTCCTCATCTGATGATGGGAAAGTCTAAATGACATAAAGCAGGTGGCATTTGATACTAGGCCCGAGGCATAGAATGAGCACCGAATACTAAATACGAGTTATGTATCGTTAAGGGGAATGAGCCACAGAGATCCTGAGTGGGGCCTTCTGCCCCAGCGGCTCTGCTCTTTCCACCAGGGCTCAGAGGCCCCTGCCTGCACCCCCAACACACAGGGGGGGCTTGAGGTGCTCACTTTTGTCCCTGTGACTGCAGGAGGCTCTAAGAGAAAGGTTTCTGACTGTCCGGAAAGCACTTTGCTAGATTTTTGCTCTAATGGAACAGCTGACCTGTAACCTGGGGCTTCTGAACAGAATCAAAACTGCACTGAGTGTCCTTGCTCAGCTTACCTGTGCAGGTTGTCCCTCCTGCGACAGGTATCGAGCTAACACTGAAAGGTTTCGAAGTGAGAGGCAGCAAGCATTTGTTTGAGGTCAAATGAAAATAGTGATTCCGGGAAGCGCTGATTCAGGGAGGAGCCCGAATAGTGTTCTGATGAGGAGACCAAGGCGAGGGGTGTTTATGAGAAGGGGCGGGAACAATTACATCCATAGCAGGAAGGCATTGCTGTTGGTGCAGAAAAGCTAACATTGTGACACTAATTTGAAACAATGTTTCTGATTTCCAGCAGAGTGATGATTATATCGAGTTCCTTGTCATCTCTGCTAATAGTTCTTTGGGAAACAATGTTGCTCTAGGCCGCTTCCAGTGGCTGGTTTCCCTGTTGAACCTTACGGGGGAGGCTCAGGTATAAGACGCCCAAGGCAGTTAGTTCCTCTGGGTTGGCAGCTCCAGCTCCATTTTATACTGTGTCCCCCGCTTGTATTGTTTTCTATGTCTCCATTTTTATCATTTTTCACACAGGTGTGCCGCAGGTTCCGGGATGAAGCCACGTGCAAGGACACCTGCCCGCCGCTCATGCTGTACAACCCCACCACGTACCAGATGGACGTCAACCCGGACGGGAAGTACAGCTTCGGCGCCACCTGTGTGAAGAAATGCCCCCGTGAGTTCACCACACGCGACACCCCTTCATTGTCAGGCATCGATGTCCCGTGTGTCTCCTACCGGAGTCCTTGAGTCCCCGGCTTGCGTAGTCTTTGGCCCGTGTGTTTGCTTCATTGTCAGGCTTGTTACCGGGGGCTCATCTGAGCGCAGGTGACAGGGTAGGTCACTGCCACAGGTGACAGTCGGCGCTGCCGCTCTGTCTACCATGTGTCTCGTACTGGGGTGGCCAGGACACAACACACGCCTGCTGGGCAGTGCCCAGAAATGAGGTCCAGCTGGAGATGTCCAGAATATTTTGCTCTCTGATGTGCACAAACGCACGGCCACTGGGCTATTGCACTGCTTGGCTGTTGTACCAAACGGGTATTTAAGGGACCTAAAGGAGGGAGTGGTCGGAAGTCCTGCCTTCTTGAGCAGAAATGGTCCTGGTGAAAATGTGCCCTGAGAGCTGCAAAGGGGGTTTTACTTGTTGCTTTGTTTTCGTTGGTGGGTTTTGCTCATTTGTGTGTGCGGTGACTGGGGGCTGCAGCGTTGATGGAAATGGGGACATCAGTTACTTCCGATAGAGAGAACGCAGCATTGTCTAATCAGTGCGCTTTAGGCACCAATCCTGATCTCTCAGAGGGGAGATGAGCTAGGACAAAAATTTCCAAAAGCAATGACAGAGGGAGATTTCCCTGCCCTACCGGATTTGCAAGAGATGAAAATGTTTAAATTCTGGGCATAAAAAATAACACACAGATAGAATGAGAGCCATGGTGAGGCAAATGACAACGGTAAGGAAGTACTTGCCCCAGTTATGGTGACACAGGTAGGCTCTCTGAGAGAGGCGGACTAGGTGGTTTAAAATCCACAGGAAAACACGCAGAGCCCACGAGAACAAAGGCAGACGGGTCACGAGGAAAGTCGCAGATGTCCAGGGAATATGTTTGAGGATCTATTGGGAAAGTCAGTGCAGGGACAGAGAGCTCCTGGAGATATTGATATTTGTGTTATACAAACACCAATAAATCACTTCAAGGGGGAGGAGGCGAGAAGAGGACTGGTACCCGGCCAGCTGGTCCAGGTCCCGCCCGGCCCCAGAGGACCCGGCGAGGCCGGCAGCAGCCCCGGGCGTTCAGCAGCCTCCGGGAAGAGTTCAGGTGGTTTAGGTTCCCGTGCTTTTAATAAGTAGTCCAGCTTTAATCCTAAGTCCTGGAGGTAAAACATGCAACAAAAAAAGAGCTGTGAAGAGGCGTTTGGGGGGGCGGCGAGGGCACGGTGTTTTCTTCCCGCACGTCCGTCTCCTGCCTGCGATGAAATATCCATTTTCCAGATCGTGGGCTGGAGGGCTCTTAAAACCCTCGAGCTCCGTTCCTTTTCCGTGTGTGGCCTTATAGTCTTTGTCTTTAAAATAAACAAAGCCAGAGGATTACGCTTGTCATTGGTCCCGTTTCGGGAGGAGTGAACCCCACAGACACCTGGCGCGGCTTTCGCCACCTGCCTCTCATTGTCCCTCCCCCAGGTAACTACGTGGTGACAGACCACGGCTCCTGCGTCCGGGCCTGCAGCTCCGACAGCCGCGAGGTGGAGGAAGACGGCGTCCGCAAGTGTAAAAAGTGCGAAGGGCCCTGTCGCAAAGGTAGGAGCCCGCGCAGCGTGGGGCCCGCACCCCTGCTCCCGGGGCTGGGCCTCTGCCCCCCGCCCCCCGGCTCCTCGGCATCACGAGGAGAGGCCCGAGTGAGCCTTTCTCCGGGCTCAGAAGCCTGTTCCTTCCTTATGTGGCAGGTGCCCCGTCCTTGGAGGCTCCTGGAGGCCAGCCTGTCCCTACTGACCCCTCACTTTATATCCTGCGCATTTCCACACCCCCCAGACGGCGCAGCAGTTGTATGACCAGCACCCACATGCCCGTCGCACAGATTCACGGATCTTTAACGCTTTGCCACGGCCCCTTCGCTTTTCCCATGTTCGTGTTCACGTGTGCTCACGTGTGTTTGTGTGCGTGCGTGCACGGGTGTGTTTTCCCCTAAACCATGTGTTAATTACAGATATTGTAACGTTCCACCCCCTGACGTTTCACCTCCCCTGCAGATGGGGACCTCTCCTAGTCACGAAAGCAGCTTCACCCGCCCCGACGCTAACCCCCACCCAGTGCCGTCCCAGTGTTCCGGTTACTGCCCCAGAAAGTCATGTCCACCTGTTTCCCGCCCGGGACCCAGTCACGGCTCGTGGCTCCACGCGGATGCCCCGTCTCTGTGTCCTTTGTTAACCAAGAGCCCCCCTCAGCACCCCTTCCTTCCCTTTTCTGTCCCGTCAGCTGAGCTTGTGAGGAGCGTGGCCAGGTGTTCAGGATGCAGGTGACGCTCGAGATGGAAATTCGGGAGGGGGTATAAGTTGATAAACAGCTCAGAGCGCGGAAAGAGACATGGGAGGCTGATGCACCCCGTAACCACCGGGGGACGAAGGCCACTGAACGACCTGGCGGAAGTGACGACAGTGTTTACTAAGACGGACCGTCAGACAGACAGACGTTAAAATCCTGCTTGGAGGGGTCCTGGTGATAGGACCAGCGTTCACCTAGAAAGTCAGGGAGGCGGAATACAGGCCTCGTCTCCGCTGGGGCCTGAACGGCTTAACTAGGAAGACAGCGTCGAAATGCTAAGGACGGTGGCGGGACTGCTGGGCCCCTCCTGCCTCTGTATTCTGCTCTCAGCATTTTCTTAAATGAATGCATCTTACTCCTCGATTTTAAAGAATGTGTGATGTTTTTTCTCAAAGCGAGAAGCCAAGGCCGCAGGCCAGGTCAGGGCGGTGGAAAGGCAGGGCAGGTGGGTCAGGGAACCAGCGGGAGCCACACGCAGGTGGGTGCCCACGGCAGGGGGATGGCACCTGCAGCTCGTCTCTGGTCCCCGTGGGAGATACTGAGGAGGGGGCACAAGTCCAGTGGGGACCGTGACCGTGCCGCCTCTAACCACTGTAACCCCAAACCCCGCCACGGCCCCCGGTACCTCCGGGAGTGTTTGTTGAGTGCATGAGTGGTGGTCCGGCCGCCACAGTTCTCCTGGCTCCGCTCCCTTCCCGCCCCCTGCGCCTGCGGAGCCCCAGCCTGGCCCCGTCAGCGGGCGGGGTGCGGATGGGTGACCGGCTCCCTCCCTCCACAGTGTGTAACGGGATAGGGATCGGAGAGTTTAAGGACACGCTTTCCATAAACGCCACGAACATCCAGCACTTCCGGAACTGCACCACCATCAGCGGGGACCTGCACGTCCTGCCCGTCGCCTTTCGGGGGTGAGTCCCAGGCGCAGCCGCTGGGCGGGGGACCTGCCCTCTCCCCGGGGGGCGGCGGGTGGTCAGCAGCCTTTCTCTGCCTTGTTGCAGCGACTCCTTCACACACACGCCGCCCCTGGACCCAAAGGAGCTGGACATTCTGAAGACCGTGAAGGAGATCACAGGTGAGGAGGGCGCCCGACCCGGGCCCTGGGGCGACCGGGACCCCTGCACGGCCTTCAGGCCTGTGCTCTCCTCAGTCCTCCTGAAATTCTCCCCTTCGTGGCCGCCGAGTTCCTGGATATTTTTCAAAAATGCAACTTCCCCCGCGGGTCCCAGGGGTGAACACGATACTTGAAGACTCGGGTCCTTCACGACCTTGTGTGTGACTGTGTTTAACCCGTTGTCCCCCGGCCCAGGCCGGTGTCCTGACGGCCCCGTGACTGTCCTGGGTCCAGGGAGAAGGGGGTCAACCACCCCGGGATGGGCCTTGGGTCCCCAACTGCCATCAAAGTCCCACTCCCTTCATTCCTAAAAAAGGGAGTAATTTGACCTAAATAACGAAGATTGTTTTGAGGATTGGAATTAAGTCAGGAAAATTTGCCCGTGTCCTTGTACCTGATAACAGCTCGATACATGCCCACCCCTGCTTGGAGTCATCAAAAACAGAGCCCAGCAAGGTTGCCGCCCACGGGGACAGCCTGTGGGGGGGAGGGTTGGGCGCCGGGGACTCCGTGGGAGAGGCAGGATGTGCCACGGAGCCTTGGCCTGCACCTCCGGTGGGCACATGCTTGGTGCAGACGGTACAGAGAACCAGCTCAGAGGCTCAGGTGTCCGGCCCCCGCTCCGCTCTCTCGAAGATCCTGTAGTAACATCCTCCCGAGCAGGGCGGGCCTGAGCCTCCCTCTGCCTCACAGGGTTTCTGCTGATCCAGGCCTGGCCGGAAAACAGGACGGACCTCCACGCCTTCGAGAACCTGGAGATCATCCGGGGCAGGACAAAGCAGCAGTAAGTGGGCCCGGGCAGGCCTGGCAGGATCTTCCTAACGTTTTCATTTTGAAATAAGACGTACAGACGCATTGCAGAGGTACTGCAGGGACTTGCTGTCTGTCCCTCACCCGGTCTCCCCTGCTGATGACACCTTACAGAAGCCGGTGCAGGTGTCAGAATGAAGGCGTTAGTGTTGGCTCCAAGCTGTTTAACTGAACTTCATTCAGGTTTCCCCAGTTTTTCCACAAATGCCTTGATTCTGTTCCAGTGTCCCATCCAGTAGTTGCCTTGCATTTGGTTGTTACGTGTCCTTAGTCCCGGGCAGTCTGCAGGAGCCCCTGTGTCTTTCTTTACCTTCACAGCCCTGACACATTGGAGAAGTGCTGTTCAGGCTTTCTGTAGAATGACTGAGGTTTCCTCATGACATGAGATGTAAAATATCATGGGCATGTCAAGTACAGGACAGGAAATACGCTCAATGATATTGTAGTAACTATGGATGGTGCCAGGTGGGCACCGGAAATATTGGGGGGATCACTTTATAAGGTACGTGATTGTCTAATCACTGTGCTGTCCACCTGAAAGTGACACAGAGTAATGCTGAATGTCAACTGTCGTTGAAAACAGTAAAAATTTAGAACCTTGGACACCACCTGGAGGAGCTCGGGTGGTGGTTCGCAGGTGATGGGAGACCACAGGAAGGAGGCCGTGTGTGTGGGACACTCGCTGGCCATCAGGACAGGAGATGCAGACCTTCTGTGGGTGGACGGGC